TTAAATATGTTCTATATTTATAAATTTGGAGAACCGAAATTTATAAAGAGAAGTGCAAAAACAGTCTTCGACACATAGGGCGTGTTCTAGGGAGGGAGGGAGGGAGGGAGGGAGGGAGGGAGGGAGGGAGGGAGGGAGCGAGAGAGAGATGTCAAAATACAAGCTCTTTTACAATAACATCCTTACTCCATCGTACTGTTCATGTACAGTTGCCTGGTGCTATACAATGCACCTTGGATCAAAGGCCTTGAGCCTAGCCTAGTTGAGCCTAAGGACAGTTGCCAGAGGAAAACAATACAGAGACGTGCACAAACAAATGACAAACAAACAGCTGCTGAATTTTACACGGTAGCGGAGCCAGGATCCTGGTAACAACAATCCAGGTGAGCTCCAATACAACAACAGGAACAGACACACAAACACAGACAACGGAGGACAAGCCTTGACCCTACAACAGGTAGCTTGTACAGCTGCAACAATGGCAGCACAACCAGCAGCAGCTCCAAATGGAGGAGACCGCCTGCCTCCAGTTCCAGAAGACGAGACAATTACAAACATGGCAAAAATGAACAGATACAAACTCAAACCACCTTTCTTCAATGGAGACTATGGCCCGTTCGAGGAATGGAAGTACAAGTTCACAGCATACATGGGATTGCAAGACAACGACTACACAGATTTGCTACAAGCAGCGGAACAGGCCACAGCAGAACTCACAGAGCTACAACTACGAGCAGCGGCATCAACAATCGAAGATGGTGAACGACATGTTCGCCTCAGCACTGATTTGAGGTACATCCTCATCAACACAACAACAGGAGCAGCAGCTACTGTCTGCAGACAATACCAACACACAATCGGCTTCGAGATGTACCGACAATTGTGCATCCGCTTCTCCATCCCATTGGGGACAAGATCCATAGGACACTTGACAAGATTGTTGAAACCAACATTTGACAAGAACAACTTCGAAGAATCATTTTCCACATGGGAATTTGAGCTACAACGATTCGAGCGAGACAATGGACAAACACTCCCAGACTCCGTGAAGATTGCCGTATTGCTCAACGAGACAAGTGGACCACTACAACAACACCTACAACTGCTCTCAGGACAAAGCCCAAACTATGCACGAGTCAAACAAACAATCATCGAGTACTACAGGTCGACAACAGCGTTCAGCACTACAACAACTACGATCACAATCATCCAGTGTGGCGACAAGCTTCGGCGGAGGACAAGCGCCTATGGACATTGATGCAACAAAGGAAAAGGCAAGTACAACAGTTTCAAAGGAAAAGGCAAAGGAAAAGGAAAGAACAAAGGCAAAGGCTACGGAGGATACAAGGGCTACGGATACAAGGGCTATGGAGTAAGATGGGTCTACACGCAATCAAGAGGACAACCAATTGTCATACCCTTCTATGTGTGTGACATCCACGACCCAATCCTGCCAGTGACAAGACTGGCAGAACAAGGCTTTGACATCAGATTCAACGACACTCCAACAATGCGCCACGACAAGGGATTCAATGTTCCCTTGGTGCAGCAGCACAACCTCTACTACTTGCCAGCGACAATCATGAACCTGGGACAACATCAACAACTACAGCTGAGACATACACGAAGGGGCAGGATTGCAATGATTGCCCCAACAACACTGACAAAGCATGGACCACAACAAGTCCTGGGAGGCAACAGCGACTACTGGAACTACAACAATGAAGGATACCTTGTACGGTATCACCGGAACAAGAGAAAAGCGCTCTTTGTTCCTGGCGACAATTGCCCTGTACCACTGGAGACATTGAGCAATTACAGATGAACAATCATCCGACGAACAGACGGGAACAACGAAGACATTGTTGAACAATACCATGACATGAGCAAGCACGAACAACGACGAGTGATACAAGGACACATGGACGGGAGAAACATGGTTCAGAGTGAACAAGCCGCCAGCACAACCGGCAACTACAACAGCGAAGACAACAGAGCAGACAGAGATAGCACCACAGGCACTACAAGCACGACACCAATCCACAACACTAAGACTCCCGGAACGGGACAACGCAACAGGCAAGCAGAGAGCCATCAACGAAGAAGCCAGCACCAACAACTACAGCAGTACCTGATACCAACAACAGACTACTGGATCAGAGAAGGACACTATTGGAAACGAGTTCACGTACAGGTACGGACGACAATGTACATACCACAACAAACAGACGATGGTCCAAACATTGGACGACTCGAAACTACACGGACAACATTCGTGAACAGAACGGAACAAGGAAGAGGATACACAATCCATGACAATTGGCACAAATCAGGAGCAAGACAGCCTGACAGACAATGGACAGGATCAACAAACTTCGAGGAAGAGGCGCAGTACAAGTACGAGTATGACACGGACAATGAAGATGAATCTCAACAAGCACAACGCGCCAAAGGGATGAATTCGCCACAACAGCCAACAAGACAAGAAAGACTAGAACATGAGCTGACACACTTGCCATACCGTTCATGGTGCCCAATATGTGTCAAAAGCAAAGGAAGAACAGACAATCACCCAAAACAAGCAAGCAAACAACCAGTGATACAAGTGGACTTCACCTGCATGAAAGCATTTGGAGACAAACAAGTACTACCAGTACTGACAGCAATAGATGTCGAATCAGGCATGGCAATGGCAGTTCTTGTACAAGACAAGAACCAACAACAACAATACCTGATACGATGTCTACAAACATTCATGTTCGAATGTGGACGAGCATAAGCAACACTATCTACCACAGCACTACAATCAGACCAAGAAGAATACATACAGAACCTACTGAAGGACCGGCGTACTCGTCACAATCACAAGGAAGCATTGAACGATTCCATCGCACCTTGATGGGACAAGTCCGAGCACTGGCAGTGGTACAACAAGTGACCGCAAGCCGCAAGCTACAACCTTACATTGAGCGTACAACATCCGATCATGCCGTGGATTGTACGGCATGCAGCCTGGCTACTGAACAGGTATGCCATGCACAATGACGGACAAACAAGTTACCAAAGACGATGGCAGAAGGACCACAGAGCACCACTATGCGAGATGGCAGAAACAGTTCAATACATGATACCAACCACAAAAGCACAACCCAAGATGGAGCCAAGATTCTTCAAAGGAATCTGGCTTGGCAGAGACACAATGACTGGAGAGTCAATAGTTGGCATTCCTGGCAAGGTCATCAAAGCGAGAACAATACGAAGACAGATTATGCCAGACAAGTACGACAAGCAACTACTGGATACTATCAACGTGTATCCATGGAACTTCCAACACACCAATGGCAATTCCACCACAATTGCTTCTACCAGCTGACAACGCCGCAAGCAGACAAGCAATTGGCGCACAAGCTGACATTACAGTGGAAGACACAAGCACACAGACAATACAAGAGACACCACTGGCACTACCAGCTCGAGCAACGCACCGTCAGCCAATGGATACAACAATGGCAACATCAGCATTGGCAACCTCACCAACAACAGTGGCAAGGCCATCACTGCCAATGCCACCAGCAAGCAAGAGACAACACGAGGAGCCTACAGGTGAAGCGCAATCCAAGCAATCAAAGACAGCGCAGTCCTCAACAGCAGCAAATCGAGGACAAGATGAAGAACAACCAAAAGCAAAGATGAGAATACAAGCAGTGACAATCACCACAAAGAAAGGTGACAAGATCACCACAGCATCCTGTGAAGATGAACAAGAAGCAGAAGTGGAGAGGACGCTACAGGAACCCTTCGTCTACGACAATGAAGGCCTTGATCCATTGAAAGTACAACAAGGAATGAAGAAAGAAGCACAATCGATGAAGACACAAGGAGTGTTCACAGAGATGAACTACAATGATGTTCCTGAAGAACACAAGAACAGGATCATAGAATCCAAGTGGGTCAACAAACCCAAACAAGATGAAGCGCGATGTCGCATAGTAGCAAAAGGCTACTTGGAAACAATCCAAGACCTTGACAACATCTATGCGAGCACGCCAATCTTTGGGATCTTACGCATCCTATTGACAATGGCACAGCGCAACCACTGGACAATACAAGCAGGTGATGTGTCAACAGCATTCCTACATGCACCAGCAGCGACAGACAATCTTTACATGTGGCCACCACCAGAACTATACCCAAGTGGTCACAACACAACCACAGTATGGAAGCTCAACAAAGCAATCTATGGACTACGATCAAGTCCAAAATCCTGGCAGGATCACTTGCACAAGTCCTACAACAAACGGGACTATCTCGACTGACAAGTGAACCCAACGTGTACAGGAACAATGAACAGACAGTGTTTGTGATGGTCTATGTGGGTGACCTACTATTCCTGGGACAACAACAAGAAGTCGACAAGACTTTCAAAGAAGTACAAAAGCATGTACTACTACGACCAACAGGCACATTGGGAATTGGTCAGACAATCCAATTCCTTGGCAGAGACATCCACAACAATGGAGACTTCTTTGAGGTGAGCCTCAAACCAGAATACATCACCACATTGCTGAAGGAAACAAAAATGGTAGCAAGCAATCCAGCATCAGCTCCAGGGACGGCAACCCTGAAACAATCCACAAACGAGGATGTACCTCTAGATGCACAAGAACATGCAGATTACAGGAGAGCAGTAGGAAAGCTTCAATGGCTGACCTACACAAGACCAGACATCAGCTTTGCAACAAAAGAACTGGCGCGAGACCTACAACAACCAACACAACAAAGCCTACGCAAGGTGAAGCGCCTTCTACGATACCTCACAGGAACACAATACTACAAAATGATCCTGAGGACAACACATACACCACAAACAAAGGAACCCATCGACCTCAACATTTATGTCGATGCGGACTGGGCAGGATGCCCAAGCACAAGAAAATCAACAAGTGGATTCATCGTGACAATGATGGGATCCGTGGTACAATTTGGAAGCAGAACACAAGCAGTAGTAGCACTATCATCAGCAGAATCAGAACTTTATGCAATTGGCACAGGAGCACAAGAAGGACTACATATAGCAAACTTCATCAAGGAAGCAACAACAACAAAGGTGAACATCCACATACACACCGACAGCACAAGCGGCAAGAGCATAGCAACAAGAACTGGCTCATCAAAGAAAGCAAAGCACATTGACCTAAAGTACCTCTTCATACAACAACTGGTACAAAGCGGGATACTGTCAATACACAAGATCAGCACACATGACAACCCAGCAGACACACTGACAAAGTATGTCCCGGCAGAGGTGCTTAACAAACACCTCTACATGGCGGGCATTCAATGCCCACAACACCACAATTGAACGACAATCGTACAAACAGTTTCACAACCATGGCAGCATCTATGCGTGTACAATACACACACGGGGGGCATCAAGCCATGGCACACTACTTTAGCTACTATGTGCATACTATGTCACAGACAATATGTACTACAAGATCTTTAGTCTCACAATGGGCCCGACTTTCTCTTCGTCGTTTCGGAGTACAATTCGATGGACAATGTGTTTGAAGTTTTGCTTTCTGAATTTGAAAGACAATGCATGTTCAGTTGACAACTTGTCGACAATCTTTTTGACCGCAGCCGCTTCCCAGCTCACGAGCGCTGACAATCGGGGTCGACTATTTCGAGGACAATTTCAAGGGCAACAATGGCCATGGAGATGACGATTCCAGACTACCACAATCAGCGTCGACTTCCCACAAACTCGACAATCTCCTTGTGGGAGGACCGAGCAGTCCTATACAATGAGAACAACATGGAAAGGTCAGAAGATGAAGAAGAGGAGAAAGGGACAAAGCGTCCCAGACAATCTCCAGAAGACAATATGGAGGATACGCAGGGCCAGAACAAAGTTCCGACAAGCTGCTGATCTCCAGCTATGACAATGCCACACGCGCACTACGATGAGAAGGGCAATACTGGAGAGACAAGCGCAGAAGAAGAACATGTACAGACTTGCCTACAATGCCTGAACTGTTTATGTACAATAATGTTCCTTTACTGTTTCAACAATGTTTGTAGAGATGGTGTGACTCAACAATGAATCAAACCAAGGGACGGTGTCAAGATACAAGCTCTTTTGCAATAACATACTTACTCCATCGTACTGTTCATGTACAATTGCCTGGCGCTATACAATGCACCTTGGATCAAAGGCCTTGAGCCTAGCCTAGTTGAGCCTAAGGACAGTTGCCAGAGGAAAACAATACAGAGACGTGCGCAAACAAACGACAAACAAACAGCTGCTGAATTTTACAAGAGAGAGAGAGAGATGCAACGTGGCAAGATCCAAAGATTAGCCAAAGCACTTGAGAAGATTATGTACGCAAGGGGCCTTGGGTCAGCGGCACAAGCGGAAAGAACTGAAGTGACATTGCAGGAGGAGAACTTGTCAAGACATGGTTCTGGGTGAGCAGCGGTTCTATTTGGTGTATTCCTGATGTGGAAGCAATTCAAGAAGCTTGAGAGGAGAGTGGAAGAAAATGAGCCTGCTTTGAGATTTCAGATCTTGGGGTTGAAGTCAGCAAAGGACGAAATTGAGGAAGCCAGACTCGAGTTCAAGTCCTATGTGGTCAATCAAGGCAATTTGATTCGATGGGAGATGACTATTGCCAACGCCTTCACAGTGCCATAGTAAAGCAGAACGGCTATGAAGAACACGAAGAGTTGACTTCAGAAGAAGAGAGATGCATGAAGTTCTTGAGAAGGGCAACCAGAAGTGCGGACAAGAGAAGATGGCAGAAAGACTCATGATACATAAAGCAAATGTGAGAAGACGACGAGTTGATCGCGCAGAAGAGAGGAGGAGACGAGGAAATGGCACAGGAGCATCAAGCTCAAGAGAAGAAGAAGAAGAAGAAAATGAAGAGAGTTTGAGTGGAAGGACAGCCACAGTTCTACTGGACGAACCGAGAGAAGTTAAGATTCCAGTGGAATATTTGAGCGCAGAACTGGTGCCAAGGACAGTGGATGAGAGGTTGCTCACAGCTCCTCCACCGTTTGAACGGCCAGGTGAACCAGAAGTAGAAGTTGAAGGACCAGAAAGTCCAGATCACCAGATCGCGACGCGGATATGACAGACACAGCAGCAGTGAGAGCGACTGGAGAAGGAGAAGCAACGGATGAACCAATAGATGTTGATGAGAAGAAGGACCCATGCAAATCCAGAGCTTCATTGCAGGCAAGAGAAGAGTTGTTGAAACTCGAAGGCAGTATCGAGTTCTACAACAGAGTTGGTGACAGAGTGAAGCTGCGAAAACTCTACGAAGAACTGCAAAAAGTGGTGACTTTCATCACAGATTGAATGCAATCGTGCGAAAAAGGAGACAGGCAGCATTAACTCCGCCACCAAAGGAGGAGTGCGTAGATGTTCAAAGCATACTCAAGTTTGACCTACGCACACCGCAGGTCGCATCAAGGTTCAAGAAAAGGACCGCTTTCGCATGTGTATATATATGGTTGTCGATCTAAAGGTCCTAGTCAGCAGTGTGTATGACGATGACCCGGAACATATCAAAATCTCATTTGGCGAAAGTTTTTTCTCGAGTTGGCGAAAGTTCACCCTGCCACATCTGACCCCCAGCCCATTATGAGTAAGTTTGAGTGACCGGCTACTACGGTGATTCTTGCAATTTTGATTCTTGCTGACACCCAGGAGAAACAAAAGAGACGTACAGGGTGTCAACAGTTAAGTAGAAGATACATGCTGACAAACAGTGAAGTTTCTATTTTGTGTTTGCCAGTAAAGAAGAAGCCATTGACGTGAACAAAACACAACATACATGGCGCACATAAATACAACGTACTTCGGCGAAAGATAAAACGCAGGAAGGCGAAAGTTTGGCGAAAGTAAATTCTTTTTGCGAAAATGACGGATCCCGAATAAAGGAATTTAGATCAACTCCCATATATTTATTTATTTATTCCCCAGATAGCGAAGCTATGGGGTTCTTACTTCAGATAATAGTGAGTTGCCCGTGCGCGCTTTCGAGACAGGTTGCTGGTGCTGGGTGTCGGTGCTGGTGCTGGTGCTGTGAGCTGGCTGTGCACGTGGTGGAGACAGGTTGCTGGTGGTGGTGCTGGTGCTGGTGCTGTGAGTTGGCTGTGCACGTGGTGGAGACCGGTTCATGGCGCTGGTGCCGGGCGCCGGCGCTGGTGCTGGGTGCCAGGTGCCGGTGTTGGTGCTGTGAGTTGGCTGCACGTGGTGGAGACAGGTTGCTGGTGCTGTTGCCGGGTGCCGGCGCTGGTGCCGTGCTGGTGCTGGTGCTGCGCACGGGGTGGAGACCGGTTGCTGGCGCTGGTGCTGGTGCCGGGTGCCGGTGCTGCTGGTGCTGGTGCCGGGTGCCGGTGCTGCTGGTGCTGGTGCTGGGTGCCGGCGCTGGTGCTGGTGGTGTAGCTTGCATATATGTGGGGACCCTTTTTGCCCAGATAGCGAGGCTATGGGATTCTTACTTCAAATAACAATGAGCTGCCTGCGCGCGCTTTCGAGACAGGTTGCCGGTGCTGGTGGGCGGTGGAAACAGGGTGCCGGTGCTGGGTGCCGGTGCCGGGTGCTGGTGCGGGCTGTGGTGCTGGGTGAGCTGGCTGCGCGCGTGGTGGAGACACGGTGCCGGTGCTGGGTGCTGGCAGTGCGCATGGTAGGGCGCCAGCGCCGGTGCTGTGAGCCGGCAGTGTGCGTGGTGGTGACCGGGCGCCGGTGCTGTGCTTTGCTACACCGGTGCTGGGTGCTGGCGCTGGGCGCCGTAAGCTGGCGCGCCGGTGCTCGGTGCTGGTGCCCGCTTCTGACAGTGAAGTGATAACAACCGCCGCTTCTGACAGTGAAGTGAAGGGTAACAAACCGCCGCTTGCAGCAGTGAAGGGCGACCAAGCGCCGCTTAAGGACAATGAAGTGCAAGCAGTCATGGGCCGCATGAACTTATGCACGAAACATCATATGGTGTTGTCGCTTGAGCGTTCTTTGTCTATTAGCGCTGTGGGGTGTTTACACCCTTCAGGTTCTGTTTTGGCCGACAGCTGTGTCAAGGGCTGTACTGTTTGCGCGCATACTTTTGTACGTATAATGTTCGATGCGTCAGGCTCTCAACCGACCATTGTACCAGCATGTTTCAGCATGCTACACACACGTCAGTCGTGCTGGATACTGCTTGGCCTTGGGCGAGTGAAGCCTACGGGCTTTGCCGGTTGTGCGCATACTTCTGTGCGCATAAACTTATACGCGCAAGATCATACGGCCTTATCGTTCTGCAGGTCGTTGCTTCAAGCATGCTACAAAGTCAATAGTGGCGCTGGATACTGCCTGGCCTTGGGCCAATGACACTTACGGGCCTTGCTGTTTGCGCCCGTACTTTTATGCGCATGAACTTATACGCGCAAGATCATACGTTGTTATTCCCCAAGTAGGGATAGCTATGGGGTTGTTGTTGCAAATAAGAATGAGCTGGCTGCGCGCGCTTTCAAAAGGGTGTCGGTGCTGGTGCTGGTGTTGTGTTCCTGGGTGCTGGTGCTGTGGCTGAGCGCGCGTTTAAGACGGGCGGCGGCGCTGGTCGGGTGCTGGTGTCAGCTGATTGCGCGAGGTGTCGTAAGCTGGCTGCGCAGGCTGCGTACATTCTTGTTCCAGCCAGTCGCATGTCAACAGGTCGTGGGATTCTGCCTAGCTATCTGGGTCTATGCTGGTGTAATTTATTTGTTTATATACTATCTATATATATATATATTGACTAACTTTGTTCGGTGTATGTGTGCGCGCAATCGTGCAAAGGAAGGGGCTCCCTTGCCACTTGCAGGCAGTTGGCCTCACTCCAGCTCATTCACATCTATAATATATACATATATATATACAGGAAATTCTGAATCTCCCGGTCAAGCAAGATGAAGCCTGGCGGACGTCATCAATTTCGTTTCCCTGCCTGCCAGATGAAGTGTGCATCTTTTTGCCTTCATCCCTGGAAGTAGGTGTGAGTTTCCTTGTCTCGTTGACATATTCAAACAATTTGGAGAATCCCACTTTTTGGGGGATCTATTTGCCGTCCACCTCTGTTTCTCTCCATTGATTGTCTCACAAACAGGTACCTACAGGCCTGCCGTGCAGTGTTTGTGTCTGGTGAGCAGTGAGAGGCACCGCCATAATACCCGAGGTCCTGTGAGCACAGCCGTGTGTGGCGCTGGCGGCGCGTGCGCCAGCATAGCCACCACCCTCGCCGAGATCGGAGCCGCAGCAGAAGCCGGAATTGGCATAGATCTTACCGTCGCAGGTGCTGGTGTTGCATTGGGCAGAGGAGAGATCTTTGGTAGTTCGTGAGCCGGTCAGGGTTTGATCGGAAATTGTGCGGCATTGCAGTCATGTCAAAGGGCAGGAACGCGGACCACGCGTTGGTGGAGTGTACTGTAGAAGGTTTAGCACCGTTTGACGCTTTGATTTCTACAAGTGAAATAGAGTGCATGCATACGTTCTTCCAATTTTTTGTTGACTCAACATGACCTTTAAGAGCGATGTAACACGCCAAGTCTGACCTTGCAGGGGCGAAGCGTCGCTTCCATGCGGTCTGACTCATCGAGAAGTCTACAGTTTGCTCTCCCGTGAGATTACCCCAGAGGAGCATACAAGAGGGATGTGGTCAGATGTCCAAGAAGGGCTGTCAGGCAAAGTGCGACTGAAATTAATCTCAAAGATAACGGATGATACATATCACTCAATGGCATTTCATTTCAAGCGGCTGTTCCTCATCAGGACTACGAGATGCTGCTGCGGCTTGATGAGGCGATCCCGAAGAAGCAAGCCACAGAGAAGGAGACCAACGAAGCTCTACATGTCGTCTCTTGCGAGGAATTTCTGGGCAAAGAATGCCCAATTTGTTTGACGCGCTACTTGCAGACTGACGACGTAGCTGCTTTGCCATGCTGCCATGACTTCCATAAGGAATGCATTTGCACTTGGCTGTCCAACTACAGGAAGACTTGTCCCCTTTGCTGCACTGAACTTGAAAGCAGCGCGTGATGCTTAAGCACACGCTAAGATGCAAAACCTGCACAAAGATAGGAATTCAATTCGGCCAAAATCAGGCAGCTTGGATTTTTGTGCTTTTGGCACAGCCGTGCTCTGCCATTGTCACATATTGCAATTCTGGTCACTGAGGGAAGCCGTGCGCAGGGAGAATGATGGAGAATCGAGAATCACAGCACCTGGTGACGGCCTTTGGAAACGTAAATGAGAGTGTCCCTGCGCTCGGCGCGCTTACAGGCAGCTGTTCCAGTTGCAGCGCGTGTACATAGATTTTTGTTTTTGTCAGGGTGCGACATTCAGCATCCCGCTTGCCAATCCCGCCCATTCGTGCTGGGAGGTGCAATCGCACTTCTTTGCTTGGTCAACCTTGATGCGTATGGGCTTCTCTTCGCTGAGAGCGCTGCTAGTGACTAAGAGCCTGCAGACGACTGAGGGGCCTAGTTTAAAGTGTAAGCGATCCAAAAAAAAATGTGATTGGGGTGCCTGGAGGGAAATAGGTTTGAAGGGAAGTATGTGCTTTTGTTCATACCTCACAGCATCAAAGCCCTCCTCACATATGCTGTCAACCCCAACTTCACGTGTGGAAAAAGACTATGGGTTTATCCAATGTATGCTTTCAACTCCTCTCCAAAGCAGAGGCAGAAACTTGAGGATATTGCTGTTGAAGTGGGGCGTGCTGGTGGCAATGGTGTGATTTCGTTAGTGGTGAAATCACAAAGAGGTAAGCTCGCCTTGCAGCGGTATGCGTTCACACTGCTTGTGAAGCAGACCGTTTTGACAGGTAGTGAAGTTGATGAAATGGTATGTGAGTGTTCATTATATAGTGGCATTCGTTTGAAGGGAAATGTTTGAGCGACTATTGCCACATACACACACACCGAGAAGTGGGTGTCAATGTATTTGTTATAGGCGTTTCTACTGCTTGAAAATTGTGTGGTTTATCGCATTCCGCTTCTGTGTTTTTTGCTATATAGAGCTGACTGTCATTCACCTTTGGCTGCAAGCAGACTTCTGCCTGGTGGATGCCTAACGAGGTCCAGTGCCTTTGTTTGATCGCTATATACAAGAATGCACCATTTTGATTGTTGTTGGCGAAACGCCTGCACTACCTACAGTAAGTCCACTCGATTTCTGCAAGCAGTTTGAGCAGAATGGAGTGCAGCGCTTGTAGTAGAATAGCGTTGCTTTTTGAATGACATCGACGGGCTCTTATCTGTGCTGTGCTTACCGTTTTCGCAATCGACTCTCTTAATGTTGCCGAGCCCATTCTCGGAATGTTGTGTCCTTTTTGAAGTTGTTTTTGCCTTGCTCCACCCCCCATCATTTTGCAGTACCTTGGTTTGCGTTAGCAAACTTCAAATCAATAGCACGGCCTCCACCTCCAACACTGTAAACACACGAACTCCTTAGTGCAAGTTTTGAAGGTTCCGGCAACAGTTTATTATCTTACTTAGTAATTTTTCAAATGTCATTCTTGCTATGGAACATTCATGTTGGAGCTTCACCACGGTTCATTTCACTCGTTCTAGTATTCATGTTAAATTTCCTTCGTTGACTTCTTGTCCCTACTGCTAAGCTTTCTGGCAATGCCTTGTAAAAATATGTGCCGAAAAGGAACCAGACAGCAGAGAGCCAAAGCAGCATTTTGAATTATGATTTTCTCGTGCCAAAGGAGTTGCTGTCTGAGCGGCATTATGTTTTAAATGTTTTTGCACTGCATCGGTTGTGTTGGTTTACATGGTGCTTGTTGTTGATGGATTTGTTGATCCAAGATGCTTCTATTCTTACCCTCGCCTTTTCCCAAATGTATTCTTCTAACTTAGTCGTCTGTCTTTTTTTCAAAGCTTCTTTGCTTATTTTCCCCATTAACCCTTCAGATTAATTACGTTGTTTTGAGTTTTTTGGTTGAAAAGTAAAGTACTATAATGTACTATACTATATAAATTAAATTATTAAATATGTTTTTTTACAAAAGCCAATCGATAGGCTTGGTTGAGTTTTCGATGGGCGAACGAGCAATTGGGGGAACCCGGTTGGGTGATGCGAGTGATGCAAATGACGCTGAGTAGTACATTATTAGTGTCATAAAGTCCAGTATATTATTATATAAAGTGATTTATTGAGGTGAACTGACCAGGTGGGTAAGTCTAGGTAGAGGATAGGAAATTGGACGATTATTGTATTGTTTGTAGAATGATACGAAAGAAAAGTAGTATTAATAGCTGAATTGAAATTATTGATTATAGTTACGGTGCTTGACTTAGCTTTTAGAAATATGTAATTTGATTGGAAAGGTTAATTGCAATAGTCCTCTTGGAATCGTTACCATAGTCTAAGGATAATGTTGGGGGCGACCTTTTTTAACGTGAGAAGGGCCCTAGTTAGAAGAAAAAGGATATCTTCTATAACTCTATAAATATCTAAGGGAGTTGGATAATTGCACAAGAGCATGGGACCCAAGCCTATCCTATGACCAGTAGTAACAATGGATGGGGGTTAATAAAGGCCTTGTATATATAGGCTTTATTGTATCGAGTCCCAATGTAAAATTTTGCATGTCTTTGCTTTTTGTTTTCTGTTGCTAAAAAGCGTAAGAAATAAGTGTAGCTTCAACTTCATCTTACCTACAACAATATTAATATTTTTGATTTCTCAATCTTTGTAGTAAATATATAGATTTACATATAAAAGAGCTTTAAATCTGACATTTTCTCATCTTCTCTTACATCTTCTCACATCTCACATCTTCGTACATCTTCTTATACTCACATCTTCTTATATCTCACATCTTTTCTTACATCTTCTCATATCTCACATCTTCTTTCTTCACTCACATCTTTACATCTCTCTTCTTTATTCTTTCTCTCTTAAGGCGGGGGGCAGGCCCAGCGAACCATTACGAACGGGCATGTTATTGCTGAAGGTCGTGGCAGACGCATACAACATAGTGGTATAGTACTTGTTACGTGACAAGTATTACTCATGTGAGATGTTCCCAAGGGCGGTCAGCATGGGGCTCTGCTGGGGCGAGCGGCTCTAGCGAGCCGCCGCCCGAGGCAGGCCCCCCTAGTTTAGGGTTTATAGGGTTTGTATCGAGGGCGCGGCCGGAGGGTCGTTTCGTCGTATGTCTTCGTCGCCGCTTGGGCACAAGCACCGTGGCACTAGTTTCCGGGGGTTGTCTTCCGCATCCTTTATTTTTCCCACCCGCGCCGCTTGTGGGCGGCTCCCACCCGGCGTTCGCTCCGCCTTTTAGGGTTTAGTTCCTAAACTAGGAACTACAAACATGTGCCATCTCTCTCCTTACAATCAAAGACCAAGGGGGTAAACCCCAAGTAGATGACTCCAGTAATCTGCCAAGGCCAGGCCAGGGGGGTAAACCCCAAGTAGAGGCCAGAAATCCCATTTCCACGCCCGCCAAAAAATTGTCAAATTCATTATTAAATCTATGGCTGGGTTTACCCCTTTGCCTCGAAACGTGGGGGGAGCCCATTTGGGTGGTAAACCCCGTGTGGTTAGGGGGGTGAACCCCAGGCTTAGCCCAATCAAAAGGGTAAACCGAAAGC